GTAAGAGTCAAATCTGGAAAGGCTGGAAGGTTTTCTTTATTAGAATTTTTTTTATTTGGAGACAGGTCTCCCTGTAGCCCCAGCTGGTCTGGAACTTGCTATGTAGACCAGGCTGGCCTTGAACTAGCGGAGATCCACCTGCCTCTGCCTCCTGAGTGCTGGGATTAAAGGTGTGTACCACTATGCCTGGCTATTTTATTAGATTTGTTACAAATGTTAAAAATCAGAAGACAACACATTAAAAGAAATAAACTACTTGCAGATCTCTGAGAGACTGAGGCCAGCCTGGTCCATAAAGGGACTTCCAAGTGGGCTGGGACTCAGGATACCCTGTCTAAAAAAATAAAAAATAAACCACCAGATGATGAAAGCATGACTGCTCCTTCCACAACGGCATGACATGCCCCCACCCCCACCCCGTGCCTACTTCAGCCTCCAGCTAGTCTTCAACTACTTCATTTCTTGATTGTTTTCACAGGAAGACACGTGAATTTGAGATAGGAAAAAAAATTCTTGGGAAGGATGGGATGGAACTGAATCTGCAACACGAGCCACTTCTCCCACTGAGGTCTACTGGTAACCTCAGAGTCCAGAAAGGAAGAGGCACAAATCCAGACCAGAAAAAGCATATTTTGTCATACGCCCCCTCCCCAAGCTGAAAATGTATAAACATTAGTGGATTTGTAAAACACATCTACAGATGCAGGCAAAGGTGCTAGGAGAAAGGACAGGAAGGATCTAGGTAAAGTCACCACCACAGCAAGAGGGGAGTTGGTTACCCACAGGCTGCTCAAGGCTGTATTTTATGAAAAATCCCAGGGTACCTCAGGAGAGGAGAGGAACAGGGATATCCTGAAGCACTTCAGTCTGAGAATGTTTTTCTTTCTTATGTCTATAAAGTCTGTATTTATTTATTTTCAGTGGTGAGGATGGCCAGTCTTGACTGCATGCCTTATTTTGTTAATAGAAAAATTGGATGGGCCATTCCATGCCAAATGAACTTTACATTTTATTCTGAAGAAGGAAGAGGAAAGGGAAGAAAGAGGAGGTCTGGCTTAGCCTATAGCAGTCCCACCATGACAAAATCTTCTGGAAAATTTTCTTGAAGACTTTTCTGTCTTTGAAGGTGCCACAGAATGATCCCAGCTCTGCTGATCTGGACTTTTACTGGCTTCATGCACTAGAAGATGGAATTTATCGGAGATGTCAGACATCAGTGTCTTCCTGCCTGAATTGGATCTCATTTTTGTGTCATGCCCAGCACATGTGGAAAAAGTAGATGCCCTGACCAGCTTTTGAAGGCATAAATAAATGTTTCTGAAGGAAGGTCTCAACATCTTGCAAGTTGATTTATATTTTGTTTTTTGGTTAAAGTCAGTGTCACTCTAGCCCAAGCGGATATGAAACTCACAGCAACCCTCTTGCCTGGGCCTCCCAAATGCTGAGATTACAGGACTGAACTGCAAATTTAGGCTGGCCTCAAACTCCCAATCCTGACTCAGCCTCCAAGTACCAAGATTACATACCCAGCTTTGCAAGTTCCTTTTTCCATTCTCAAGGGTCCTTAAACATTTGCTTAGCTGTGTACTGGGCCTCTTGGAGGAGAGAGACCAATTCTTTACATTTACACTATGGGGCGGGGGGGTTGCAGGCCTGATGCTTTAACCAATCCAGGCAAGGACTCATGGATGGGTTGGAGGAAATGAGCCTCAAAGACTAAGCTCAAGGAGGGCAGTCGATTCTCCATTCAGTCCCTTCTATTCAGTGCCAGCATTCAGTCAAGGCACTGAATTTAAAAGCTCTGGGGGTCACAAAGTTGACACAGACCCTGCCTCCAGGGCTTCATAAAGTAGCTCTCAGCTAAGGTTAATATTAAGCAAGGACTTACACACTACAGCCCCAGAAGCTACCTGGGTTTTTTTGTAAATAAAGTTTTATTGGAACAGTAGTCACACTTGTTCATCCTTGTCACATCCATGGCTGGTTTTTCACTTAAACAGCAGGGCTGAGCAGTTCCAGCAAAGGCCATATGGCCTGCAAGGCCTAAATCCTTTATCCTTTGGCCTCTTACCAAAATCTTGCTGATTCCTGCTAGAAAAGATAGAGCTGATACATTGAACTGGTCGTTAGAGAAAATGATAATTTTCATATTAAAATTACAGATGGAAAAGAGGTTGGCTGAATTAACAAGAACAAAAAAGCAGACTTAGGCTGGGGAGATAGCTCCATCAAGTAAAGTGCGTGCCTTGCAAGTATAAGGACCTGAGTTCAATCGCCAGAACCCACTAAAGAAAAGCTAGGTATGATGGTGCATGCTTGTAATCCTAGCTCTGAGAAAGAAGACACAGGTAGACATTGGGGTTTACTGGTCAGCCAGGCTAGCCTACTTAGCAAGTCCCAGGCCAGTGAGAGAGCCCATCTTAAAAGAAAAAGGTGGCCAGCACCTGAGGAACAACAGCTGAGGTTGTTCTTTGGCCTACATACTCATACACACGCACACACACAAGGAGCAGACATATTACACTTGGTTACTCTGACAAGTTATGTTATAATAGGCACTTCTTACATTTAACATCTGCAAGTTAACTGTATGTACTAGTTTAAAACACACATAAGACAATGCAAGCCAGCTACTAATCTGGTATCAATAAAAATGCTATCAGAACTAAACTCTAAAAGAAAACCAGGGGCTGGAGGGATGGCTCAGCAGTTAAGAGCATTGGCTGTTCTTGCAAACGACCTGGATTTAGTTCTCAGCACCCACGTGGTGGCTAATAACTATCCTTAACTCTAGTTCAGGTGATCTGATGCCCTCTTATGGCCTCTGCAGGCATTGCACAACACAAGTGCATTTACATACACGCAGGCAACACTCACATACAAAAATTAAAAATAAATAAATTAGCTGCAATCAAACTAGCTGCAGGGTGTGGTGGTGCATGCCTTTAATCCCAGTACTCGGGGGGCAGAGGCAGGTGCAGATTTCTGTGAGTTCAAGGCCAGACTGGTTTACATAGTGAGTTCCAAGCCAGGTGGGGCTACAGGGAGACCGGCTCAAAAAGACAAAGAAGAAAAAAAAAAAAATCAAACTAGCTATGATGAGTTCATATGCAAAACTCAGGATATTGTAATTTCTGGGTGGACAAAAATTTTTTTTCAAGAATTTTTTGTTGTTGTTGGTTTTACATTTAAAATTTTTATTTTGTGTATGTATGTGTGTGAGCTCGCATGTAGTAACTTTTGGGACTGGTTCTCTTCTTCTACTATGTGGTTCCCAGGGACTGAACTCAGGTTGTCAGGCTTGGTGGCAAGCACTTTTTACCTACTGAGCTATCTAGCCAACTTTCTTCTGATTTTTGAATCAGGATCTTGTTATGTAGCCCAGGCTGGCCTCAAACTTGGATCCTTCTATCTCTGTCTCCTGTGTGCTAGAATTACAGATGTGTACCATCACACCCACTCCTCACGGGTAATTCTGACTCTGATTTTTCCTCAAAGGGCATACACTCTCAACTTTAGCACCTAATACTTGCATAAGTTTCTGAATGGGCAGCACTCAACACTGAAATCCTGAAGGACCTGTTTTAACGAACAGGTAAAAATGGCTTGTAAGTTACATTCTGGTTTTCTCTATTTGGTTTTAAACAAAGTCAGAAGGTGTTGTAACATTCGTGGTCGATCAAAGCAGGCCATTTCCTTGGCTGTTTGAAATACCAATTGAAATCACGCTAACATTAAATCTGAATTTTTTTTCTTTGTCTTTTTGAGACAGGGTCTCCCTGTAGCCCCAGCTGTCCTGGAAATCGCTATGTAGACCAGGCTGGCCTCGAACTCACAAAGATCTGCCTGCCTCTGCCTCCCAAGGGGTGGGGTTAAAGGGGGGGGGCACCGGACAAGGGTTTTTTTTATTTTAAAAAAAAAATTTTATTATTTTTATTTTATGTGTATGCGTGTATTGCCTGCATGTAGGTAAGTGCACCCGTGTTGTGCAATGCCTGTGAAGACAGAAGAGGCTGTCAGACCCCCTGGGACTGGAGTTACAGACAGTTAGCTGCCATGTGGGTGCTGGGATTCAAACCCAGGTCTTCTGCAAGAACAACCAGTGTTCTTAACCACTAAGCCATCTCTCCAGCCCCTAAATCTGAACTCCTTTTAAAGAGAAAGCTCATTAAATATAATCTCATCCTGGCCCTAGGGGAAACATCCAAAATTAATGGATGTTTATAATTCTTACCTGCCCCCTCATTCCCAAACATCTTAGACAAAGCTCAGGGTCTGCGGAGGACAGCAGCTTGGACAGATGACAAGAAGACCAGCCCAGTTTCAAACGGAAAATAAAATAACCAGGACAAGGGGCTGAGGGCAGAATCAGAAGAATACCATGTAAAAAAATGGCTGAGGAATTCTGCACAAGGACACTTCAGTCCCATAGTGGGTGAGCCCACGGGGCTGCAGAGACTGAGTCTGCTTGAAAGAAAGGTGCCCACCTCCAAGCCGAGGGCCTTCCCGTGTAAAATTTGAGGCATATCCTCTTCCACATCAATTGATGCAGGAGTTAGAGGTAGTAAATGTGTGTGTACAAAAAATAAGCCTGTTTTATAAAGTCTATGAGAGAAAGCATGCTTTAAAAATGGAATTTGCCTGGATGCCAAAAAATCAGGTGTACGGTGGGAGGGCATTAAACTAAAAAGTTACAGAATCATTTTCCCCATGGTGTGAAGGAGCCTGAGTTCTGAAAAATCTCACATCTGATGCAAAAATAATATACATACTTCCAAATCCTTGCAGAAAGCCTACCTTGTGTTAAGCTGGAACAAAACCTCCCCCAAGGAGAATTGAACAGGCAACTCCATCTCCCTCTCAGATTCATGGAAGGTAGGGCTCCTGAGATTTAAACTCAGCCCAAAGAGGCTGGTGAGCTAAGCCCCGACACTATCTGTTCATCAAAGGTGATACTTTTACAACTCATGATAGAGAAGGAAAAACAGAATCTCACAATATGGTGGTTCATCAGGCTGCATCTTCAGTACCCACTCCCCCCAAATACCACCCCTAAGGGGCAGTTACAGGAGCTCTGCTAGTAGCAAAGACTTTATTAAGAGTCAACAAGAAAAAAAAATACAAAAGTGTATTGATAGCGCAGTAAAAATATTTCTCCCCTCCCAAACTGAGTGAGTTCTATCCTTCCCTGCTCTCTTCAACCCTGTTGCTTGGCTCTAGCTGGCAGTGGTTTGATGGGCCAGTTATTCCTCCATCTGGGCCCAGGCCTCTTCTGCCTTCTCATAGTACTGGTTGGCTAGCCGACCCTTCATGGCTTCCATGGCTGCCTCAGCTGCCTGGGTATACAAATCTCCTGAAAGAGAGAAAAGTGGGGCACAAAGAGGTGAACCACCTGTTGTCTTTACAAAACCAATACATTTCAGCTCACCCAAAAGAGCATCTGAAGTTTTGTTTTGTTTTTTTTCCCTCTTTGGTCTTTTTGAGACAGGGTCTCCCTGTAGCCCCAGCTGTCCTGGAACTCACTATGTAGACCAGGCTGGCCTTGAACTCACAGAGATCCGCCTGGCTCTACGTCCCTAGTGATGGGATTAATGGTGTGCGCCACCACACCCAGCCCTGAAGTTTCTTTTTTTAATTTTTAAAAATTTATTATTTATTATATGTATATGAGTATTCTGCCTGCATATAAGTACAGCTATGCTGTTCTATGCCCACGGAGACCAGAAGAGGGTGTTGGGTCAGCTGAAATTAGGGCTACAGATTGTTGTTAGCCACCAGGTGGGTACTGGGAACCAAACCCAGGTCTGCAAGAGTAGCCAGTACTCCTAACCTCTGAACCATCTCTTGAGAATCCCCCACCCTGAGGTTTCTTTTAAATTAAAAAAAAAAATTATTTATTATTTTTATTTTATGTGTATGCATATAATTGCCTGCATGTAAGCAAGTGATTTTTTGTCATGCAATGCCTGCGGAGGACAGAAGAGACTGTCGGATCCCCTGGAACTGGAGTTACGGACAATTGTTAGCTGCCAGTTGGTGGGTGCTGGGATTCGAACCAGATCTTCTGCTAGAACAATCAGTGTGAAGAGGCTGTCAGATCCCCCAGGACTGGAGTTACAGACAGTTGTTAGCTGCCATGTGGATGCTGGGATTCTGCCCAGGTCTTCTGCAAGAACAACCAGTGTTCTTAATTGCTGAGCCATCTCTCCAGCCCCACCCTGAGGTTTCTATAGCAACCTAAACTATACTTTCTGTCTTTTTGGTTGTGAGCCTGAGCCTTTAAGGGCTACACCAGCTCTCCAGCCCAACTCTATCTTCTGATTTGAGTCTCTGGGAGTATGCATATGATCAAACCTGGCCAGTCAGGACATTTTCCATTCTCTGGTTGCTGTGGAACCCAAGGACTTGCACGCTAGGCAAGAGTTCTACCACTAATCCACGTCCTCAACTGACAAAGCATTTCTGTTGTCTAAAGCACCCAGTCAACACGACAGCTCAAGGGAATGATTACATTACATAACAGAAAAAAAATCTAATGTTGGGGTCTAGAGAGATGACTCGGAGGTTAAGAGCACTTGCTTGTTTCTAGTACCCACATCAAGCAGTTCACAACCACCTGTAACTGTAGCTCCAGGGAATCCAATGTCTTCTCCTGGCCTCCACAGGTATGCATGAACAGCAGTTAAGAGCACTAACTGCTCTTGCAGAGGACCTGGGTTTGATTCCCAGCACCCACATGGCGGCTACAAACCATCCTTAACTCCAGTTCCAGGGGAATCCGAAGCCCCCTTCTGACCTCCACAGCATTGCATGACACAGGTGCACTCACATACATGCAGGCAATACACTCATACACATAAAATAAAAATAATAAAAAAATTTTTTAATTAAAAAAAAAGTTTTAAAAAGCTGGGCATAGTGGCACACATCTTTAATTTCAGGCTCCAGGGGCAGAGGGAGGTAGATCTCTCTGAGTTTGAGGCCAGCCTGGTCTACATAATGAGTTCCAGGCCAGACAGTGCTGCATAGTGAGACCTTGCAGCCAGGTGTGGTGGCACATGCCTTTGATCCCAGCACTTGGGAGGCAAATTTCTATGAGTTCAAGGCCAGCCTGGTCTACATAGTGAGTTCCAGGCCAGCTGGAACAGGGAGATCCTGTTTCAAATAAAACACTGTTATTATTTTTATTTTATGTGTGAGTGTATTGCCTGCATGTATGTGTGCACCCGTGTTGTGCAATGACCACAGAGGTGAGAAGAGGGCATAAGATCCTCTGGAACTAGAGCCATGGATGGCTGCTAGCTGTCAGTTGGGTGCTGGGATTTGAACATTCGTCCTCTGCAAGAGCAGCCAGTGCTCTTAACCACTGGGCCATCTCTCCAGCCCCAATTAGTGACTTTTCTGTTGCTTTGATAGAATATCCTGACAAAAGCAACTTAAAGAAGAAAGGGTTTATTTGGGTTCATCATTTCCCCAGTCCCTACCCCTTATTTTTTTAAGGGGTGTGTGTGTGTGTGTGTGTGTGTGTGTGTGAAGGCATGTGTCATGGCATGCATGAAGGTCAAGGCCAAGTCTATGGAGTCAGTTCTCTCCTTCCACTTTTATGTGGGTTCCAGGGATCAAACTCGGGTTGCTAGGGTGCTTTACTCAGTGAGTATATTACTGGCCCCAGCCCCTGTTTTTTCCTCCTTATTTTTTGAGACAGGGTCTTTCACTGAAACTGGAACTATTTCTTCTTCTTTTTTAAAAAAATATTTATTATTTATTATTTTTATTTTATGTGTATGAGTGTATTGTCTACATGGATGTGACTGCACCCCTGTTGTGCAATGCCTTGGAGGTCAGAAGAGGGTTTCAGATTCCCCTGGAACTGGCGTTAAGGACAGTTCATAGCTGCCATGTGGGTGCTGGGAATCGAACCTGGGTCCTCTGAAGAGTAGTCAGTGCTCTTAACCGCTGAGCCATCTCTCCAGCCCCCCTGGAACTATTTCTACTAGACTGGCTGGCCAGCAAACCTCCATTATCCACCTGTCCCTGCCAGCCCTCCACCAAGGCTGAGGTTATAGGCACATACCACCATACCCTGCTTTTTACATGGGTGCTCGGGATCTGAACTCAGGTTCTCAAGACCCTGGAATGTCACCCACTAAACTATTGTCCCAGCCAGAAGACTGACTGCGTAGCCATAAAAACAAAAATGCTTATTGGACATGGTTGCCCACTCCTGTAATCCCAGCACTTGGGAAGTAGAGGCAGAGGGATCAGGAATTCAAGGTCATCCTCAGCTCCACAGTAAGATTGACGACAGCCTGGGCTACATGAGATCCTATCTCAAAACAAAACGAAACAACAAAAAGAAACAAAGGACAATTATATATCTAAAAGTTCAGGGATGGAGAGATGGCTCAGTGGTTAAGAGTGAGTACTGCTCTTGCAGAGGACCCAAGTCCAGTTCCCAGAACCTGCACTCAGCAGCTCACAACTGCCAGTAACTCCAGCTCCAGGGGATCCAATGCCCTTTGTTGGCCTCCATAGGCATCTGTACTCACATGCATACACACACATAATTAAAAATAAAACAAATCTTGCTAGAATGGTGGTATTTAATCCCAGCACTTGGGAGACAGAGGCAGGCAGATCTCTGTGTTTAAGGACAGTCTGGTCTACATAATAAGTTCCAAGCCAGCCAAGGCTACACAGTGAGACCCTGTCTCAAATCACAACAAAAGCCAAAAGCCCAAAATCTTTTTTAAATTTTATTTATTTTTTTATCCTATGTGTATGCGTGTATTGCCTGCACATAGGTAAGTGCACCCATGTCGTGCAATGCCCGCGGAAGACAGAACAGGCTGTCAGATCCCCTGGAACTGGAGTTACAGACAGTTGTTAGCTGCTGTATGGGTGCTGGGATTCGAGCTCGGGTCTTCTGCAAGAACAACCAGTGTTTTTAACCACTAAGCCATCCCTCCAGCACCCCCAAATCTTTTTTTAGTGTTCATTTGCATACCAGCTCCACGAACCCCTCCTGAGGAGATGGCTTCATTCACCCTGGCAACTTATCCCAACAAGTTGTCCTAACAACTTGTCCAAGTGGGATGAGACCTACAAACTTTCGGCCAGCCCTGTCTCACTCCAGGGCAGGTGTGTGGGCCCCACCTGATCTTTGCGGGTCCTTGTCCAGCCCGTAGCCACCGGTGAACAGCATCTCTGCCTCCCTGGCCAGCAGTGCGTACCGGGGCTCATCCTGTATCCCATCATATTCTCCACCTTCGTCACAGTCCGTTGTCTCCAGGGCGGTGTTGTACCAGTGCAAGGCCTCTGACCAGTCTTGATACCTTTCCAGGAGACAAGGTTGGGGGGATGTTACCATGGCAATGGAGTTGGAAGGTAGAGGACCATCCAGCTGGAGGGGGAAGCCCAGGATCCACCCTGTAGGGCCACCACCTTTGGACCATAACTTATAGTACCCAAGGCTATCACATCTAAGGAATACCTTCATCATTTATGCTTCTATGTTTATTTATATTTTTAAAAATTATGTGCATGTGTAGGTGTCCTCAGAAGCCAGAAGAGAGTGTCAGATCCCCTGGATCTGGAGTTACAAGTTGTGTTTAGCCACTTGATATGGGTCCTAGGTACTGAACTTGGGTCCACTGGAAGAGCACAAACTGCTTTTAATCCCTGAGCCATCTCTCCAGCCCTAGTGTCTATGTTTATTAAGAGAACTTTCCTTAACAGAATTGTTGCAGTATGACAACCCTTTCACAAATGGAAGGAGAGAATCTTTGGGGAGGGGGGCATTTATCTAGGATTGCACTTAAGCACCCTATGGGCTAGACACAAGAGGGGCTATGTCCTTGCTAAGCTGCCCTCTAATCTGAGTGAGAAAGCATGACAGGTGAGGGACTGTTTGCAAAAGCTTCCAGAGTCATCTGAGCTAACACCAATAATTCAGACCCCCATTTGTTTGTTTAGAGATAAGGTCTCACATTATAGCCCAAGCTGGCCTTAAAATCATGCTGCTCTGCCTCAAGCTCCAAAGGACCTGGATTATAGGCTTCTACCACCACAATCAGACCCCTTTGATACCCTGTGCCACTCATCGTGTTCTCCTCTACTATACATGGAGAATGTCCCTCTTGTGGCTCAGTCCCTAGACCTCCAGCAACTTTACCTCAGTAACACACATACAGCCAAATCTCCACAAAGGTATTGTGGTCCTAGCCAAACACACATAACAGAAATCACTGAATTCACATGGCATCGGGCTGCTCTCTCTGGGCATAAGCCATTTGAGTAATTATTTGTAATATTTTGTCAGAGTAGAGCTTGTCTCAGGTAGAAGGGCTAGGAGCATCCTGAAGCATGCTGGCAATGGCAACCCTAGTGACTTTGGGCCTGATCCCCTCACTTTGGCTTTCTCTGCCTTCTTCCTCTCTATGCCTGTTCATCTCCTATGCCAGATCTGCAATCCCTGCAACAAGCCCTGGCCTGCCTGCCCCTAGGTCTTTGCTATCCTGAATCTTAGCACATCCTCCCCCAGCTGTCCACACCCTTCATGCTCGGCCTCTGCTCTCAGCTCCTCAGTCACCTTTCTCAAGATGTTGTCTCCAGACGCCGTTTCTTATAACAGTAACTAGTCATAAATCCCTTGCCTCCTTGTTTATTACGGCCTTCTCTCACCAGCATATAAGGCCCGGCAAGGAAAGTCTTATGTGTTGAGTTTACTGCTGTAATCCCAGGGCCTGGCCAGGATAAGCTATATATTGAATGAATAAATGTAAGGCTAGCAGGTATGATGTTCAGAAGCTAACCTTGACTCCATTTTATCTTTTTTTTTTTTTTTTTTTTTTTTTTTTTTCTGTCTTTTTGAGACAGGGTCTCTCTGTAGCCCCAGCTGACCTGGAACTCACTACATAGACCAGGCTGGTCTTGAACTCACAGAGATCCACCTGCCTCTGCCTCCCAAGTGCTGGGATTAAAGGTGCAGGCCACCTCGCCCGGCTACTCCATTTTATCTTATTAAAAAATGTAAGGATTGGAGATGTAGCTCAGTTGGTAGAGTACTTACCTAGCATACACGAAGCCCCAGGTTTGATCCCTAGCACCGAATAAACTGAGCATGGTGGCACATGTCTATAGTCCCAGCACTCAGGAGGTGGGGTCAGGAGGATCAGAAGTTCAGGGTCATTCTTGGCCACCTAGTGAGTTCAAGACCAGCCTGGGCTACATGAGACCCTACCTCAAAACAAAACAAAACAAATCACTTGAAAAGTATTGGTAAGGTATCCAAAATAAACAGGGAGTCACTGGTCAAGGTGACTTCACTCTCTTCAGCCCTGACTCACCCCAGTCCTAAGAACAAAGTGGAGTTGCCCTGAAAACATGTACTTGGAAAAGGCCTAAATGCCTGTGCTCCTCCCAATCCACATTCCTCTCAGGAGTAAAGGTGTCCACCCTGTTTTAGAATTTTCCATGACTCTATTCCCTTATTAGATGTAATTTCTGAAAGGGTCAAACCCCCTTAAATACAAATTTGGGCCTACATGGGACCCTGCCTTACCATAGCTGGCCCTTAATTAATGCTCCCTGAGTGAAAGGGGCTGGAGCTACTTGGAATGAGGAGGAAGAGTGAGAGACTAGAGCAGAGGCTAGAAAAGAAAATTCTGACAGGTTTAGCTATATAAATACCCAAATCCAGGGTGTCCCCAAACCCGGTAGACAATGGTCATTACGTGGCACGTGTCCTCTTCCCCAATCTATGGTAGCCATTTTTCTTTTAAAGAGAAATATATGTCAAAGGGTTGATAGGCTTCATGTATAAGAGTTCTAACAAATCAACATGACCCCAAGTAAAATTAAAAGTAAAAATAAATATAAACAGCAAAAAAAACAAAACAAAACAGGAACAGATACCTGGCATAGAATGGCCAGAGGAAACAGATTCAGAGCGTTTTGAGCTTAAGAGCTTGATATGATAGAGCCATGGCCCTGACTCTCCTTCTGGATCCAGTGAAGAAGATGAACTCTTATGTGTTTGTATGTGCACAAGTGTGGAAACCTGAGTGTCATTCCTCAGGCACCATCCATCTTGTATTATTTTTTTTATTTCTGTTTTTTCAAACAGTGTCTCTCACTAACCTGAAGCCTGCCGTAGACTAGGTTAGCTAGCCAATAAGCCCCAGAGATCTGCCTATCTCTGTTCAGCTTTTCTAAAAAAAAATATTTTATTTATTATTTTTATTGTATGTGTATGCATGTATTGCCTGTGTGTAGGTAAGTGCACCTGTGTTGTGCAATGCCCACGGAGGTCAGAAGAGGCTGTCGGATCCCCTGGGACTGGAGTTACGGACAGTTGTTAGCTGCCATGTGGGTGCTGGGATTGGAACCCAGGTCTTCTGCAAGAACAGTCAGTGTTCGTAGCTGCTGAGCCATCTCTCCAGCCCCCATTCAGCTTCTTTGAATGTGGGCTCTGGGGATCAAACCCAGGTCCTCAGTACTTCACTGACAGCTATCTCCCCAGCCCAGGGGATGAATTCTTAATACTAAAGAGGAGGTGTCCCAACATGGGCATTTACAAGAAGAATGTGCCCTCTTCATTCCCTTCTAGAAAACACTTCTGAGTAGCTGAGTTTTAATGGGAGCCACAGAGGGTGAGCAAAGGGCTCTATGAGATCAGTTTCCCTACCGACCTCTGCCCCTGGACTTCGGGGATCTCCCACTGCCAAGCTGAGGAGCCAAGAGGAAGCAGGACACCCTCCAATCCTCATCCTGCAGAAACCAGTCTCAAGGCTGCATGGAAATACCAGCAGCGGCCTTGCTGGAGCCTTCAAGAGTCTCAAAGCCACTGGGGAAACTCAGTTGTCAGTCTCCTCCTTCCTTTTCATCCCTCTTAGAAGAGATCTACAAATAGGGACGGGCATACAGCTCGGTGGCAGGACACTTGTCCAGCATGCATGAGGTCCTGGTGTTAATCTTCAGCACTACATCGTCACAACCCAAATACAAACAAAAGGAGGCAAAGGCACCAATGTCCCCATCCTACTTTGTACAGACAATCACACTAAATTGTGTAGTCTTTCTGATTTATTTAATTCTAATATTTGATTATTTTTATGTATATGAGTGTATTGCCTGCATGTATGTGAGTGTACACATGTCGTGCAATGCCGCGGAGGTCAGAAGAGGGCTTCAGATCCCCTGGAACTGGAGTCAAGGACAGTTAGTAGCCACCATGTGGGTGCTGGGAATCAAACCCGGGTCCTCTGCAAGAGCAGTCAGTGCTCTTAACCACTGAGCCATCTCTCCAGCCCCATAAATTGTGTAATCTTTCTAACTTATTTTCCCCCAAGCAAATCTTTACATGTGCTGACTAAGTAACCGCCATCTATCCCATGCCTTCTGTGTCAGGCACTATGGGAAAGACACTCAACCTTCACAAGACAGTCACTAGAGATGGATGCTGTCACATTGCTTCCGTTTCATCCGAAGAAGAAACTGAAGCCAGGTAAAGGGCAGAGCCAAGACTGAAAGCCGTGTCTGTCCCAAGATCGAAGGGAAAACATCCTCTGCAGCCCACTTTACCCCAACATCACCCAAGTGACGGCCACAGTACCTGTCTGGGCTGAGGTTGAGGCCAGTGTCAAAGGCTCGGGCCACTAGGATCATAGACTGTCTGTCACCAGCTTCTGCTGCCTTCAGTAAGTAATCAAAGCCTTTTGTCTTATTCTCCTCTGTCTCCTGTCAATCCAAACCAAAGAGAAAGGGGAGAAACAGCAAATGAAGTATATGTGAGGTCACCAAGAGCTCCCTCGGGGAACCTTGTTTCTTAAGTCATTGTGAGAGTTCTAGGCTGGGACTGCCACAGGACATGTCCATGCCTTTTAGAATATTGATGCACTTGTCCAACCATCCCCGCCATGGATTTAAGAACACTAAAATTTTTTATTACATTTATTTATTTATTTAATTTATCATGTGTGTGTATGAGTTTGCATGCGCCAAGGCATAGGTGATCAGAAGACAACTTGCTTGGCGTAATGGTTCTCTCACTCCTCCATATGACACCCAGGGATCGAACTCAGGTTGTGAGGCTTGGTGGCAAGCCCCTTTACCCACTGAGTCATCTTGCTGGCCCAATTTCAGAATATCTTAATCAATCCAAAAACAAATACCATACCCCATAACTCACAAGCTTTCCTTATCTCCTAATCTCTCCATCCTGACCAGTCATGGGCAATGACTAGTCCATTTTCTGTCTCTGTGGAGTCTGGACATGTCATAGGCAGGTGGAATGGAATGACTGATAGGCAGGTGGAATGGAATGATAGGCAGGTGGAATGGAATGATAGGCAGGTGGAATGGAATGACTGATAGGCAGGTGGAATGGAATGATAGGCAGGTGGAATGGAATGATAGGCAGGTGGAATGGAATGATAGGCAGGTGGAATGGAATGATAGGCAGGTGGAATGGAATGATAGGCAGGTGGAATGGAATGATAGGCAGGTGGAATGGAATGATAGGCAGGTGGAATGGAATGATAGGCAGGTGGAATGGAATGATAGGCAGGTGGAATGGAATGATAGGCAGGTGGAATGGAATGATAGGCAGGTGGAATGGAATGATAGGCAGGTGGAATGGAATGATAGGCAGGTGGAATGGAATGATAGGCAGGTGGAATGGAATGATAGGCAGGTGGAATGGAATGATAGGCAGGTGGAATGGAATGATAGGCAGGTGGAATGGAATGACTGATAGGCAGGTGGAATGGAATGATAGGCAGGTGGAATGGAATGATAGGCAGGTGGAATGGAATGATAGGCAGGTGGAATGGAATGATAGGCAGGTGGAATGGAATGATAGGCAGGTGGAATGGAATGATAGGCAGGTGGAATGGAATGATAGGCAGGTGGAATGGAATGATAGGCAGGTGGAATGGAATGATAGGCAGGTGGAATGGAATGATAGGCAGGTGGAATGGAATGATAGGCAGGTGGAATGGAATGATAGGCAGGTGGAATGGAATGATAGGCAGGTGGAATGGAATGATAGGCAGGTGGAATGGAATGATAGGCAGGTGGAATGGAATGATAGGCAGGTGGAATGGAATGATAGGCAGGTGGCCTTCTGTGTCAGTACTTCATTCTTTCTGCTGATGGACCACTACTCCCTCTCAATGTCCACTGATGAAGACTTGGGCTGTTCCCACGTTTTGGCTATCATGGACAATACATTCAAGAGCACACATGAATATGTTTTTGGTGTTGCTACTGTTGTTTCAGACAGGGTCTTACTATGTAGCTCAGGCTGGCCTGGAACTCACAATTCTCCTGCATAGCCTTCTGAGTGCTGGGATGACAGGCGCACCGCCATGCCTGGCTTTGGATATGTTTTTTATGGAGGCTGGAAGAGAGGAGAAAGGATTCTCCCCAGAGCCTCCAGAGGGAGCACAATTCTGTCACCCTGATTGTGGACTTTCCTTAACCAGGACTCTGAGGCCCAGCAGTGGGGAGGTAGAAGCACGCAGATCTCTGTTGAGTTCCAGGTCAGCTTGGTCTACAAAGCAAGAGACTGTCTCAAAAAAAACAAAAACAAAAACACAAAAACCAACTCCACAGTAACGGGCCCCTCAAAAGAGGGACTCAGACATTTCTGTTATTATAATCGCTGGTATATAATGTCTGAGCTATATGCCCAGCTCTATTTGTATTTCATGCCTAGAAAGAGGGAGGAAGCTCCCTGGTGAGTTTCCCAGTGGCTTTGAGACTCCTCAAGGCACCAGTAAGGCAACGGTATTTCCCACGAAGCCTTCAGGCTGAGATGCCATGGCTGGTTTCTGCAGTGTGAGGAGTTACTGAATATTCAGAAAATGAGAAAATATGGGGCTGGGGATGTAGCTCAATGGTAGAGTGCTTGCCTAGCATGTACAAAGTCCTAAATTCTAGGGTTGGAGAGATGGCTCAGTAGTTAAGAGCACTGGCTGCTCTTGCAGAGGATCTGGGTTTGACTCCCAGTGCACACATGGTGGCTAAGAAATCCCTAGATTCCATCCTCAGCAAAGAAGAGAGAAGGGAAGAAGGGAGACAGGGAAGGAGGGAGAAAAGGCAGAGTAGAAAGGGAGGGAGATAGAGAAAAAAGAATGAATATGATGAGCCGGGCATGGTGGCACACGCCGTTAATCCCAGCACTTGGGAGGTAGAGGCAAGTGGACCTCTGTGAGTTCAAGGCCAGCCTGGTCTACATAGTGAGTTCCAGGACAGCTGGGGCTACAGAGTAAATATGAAAGACAAAGATAGAAAAGATATTTTTCACTGTAAGTTTTTTTTTTTTCTTTTTGAGATAGAGGGTCTTACTATGTAGCCCTGGCTGGCCTGGAACTCAGTATGTAGATTTGGCTAGCTTTGAACTCAGATATCTGCCTGCCTCTGCTTTCCAAGTACTGGGAATAATGGCATGTTCCATCCACCACACCAGGCTCACAGTAAACCTTTTGTTATTATTATTATTATTTTAATTTTATGTGTCTGAGTGTTTTGCCTGCATGTATATAAATGTACCCGTGTCGTGCAAAGCCTGCAGAGACCAGAAGAGGGTGTCAGATCCCATGGTTATTAGCTGCCATGTGGTTGCTGAGAATCAAACCTGGGTCCTTTGGAAGAGCAGCCAGTGCTCTTAACCGCTGAGCCATCTCTCCAGCCCCCACTGTAAACCTTTTTACATGAAATTTTTTTGGAGCGGGGACCAGCAAGATGACCCAGTTGGTAAAGGTGCCTGTTGCCAATCCTGAAAGCCTGAGTTTATCCCTGGAACCCACGTAATAGAAGGAGAGAATCAACTCCTATAAGTTGTCTTCTGACCTCCACACAGTCATTATGGCATGTGCAAACACACACATAATGTAATTTTTTTTTTTTTTTTGTCTTTTTGAGACAGGGTCTCCCTGCAGCCTCAGCTGGCCTGGAACTTGCTATGTGGACCAGGCTGGCCCTGAATTTTACAGAGATCTGCCTGCCTCTGCCTCCTGAGTGCTGGGATTAAAGGAGTGCACTACCATGCCTGGCCCAAACACACAATGTAAGTTTAAAACATTTTTTAAATCTTTTAAAATCACAGGAATATATTACCTGTTCAGAAAGTGAAGCAAGGCCCCAACATGCTTTCCTACCCTTTTCTAGTCTGAGACCCACCCACTCACTGGCCATGAGGAGCTCTGAGAAAGGCTGGTGCCCTGAGCCTGTGTTGAGCGCAGCTTTGCCTAGCCTCCTATCCCCACAGCTTCCACTCTCTTGACAGGGTAGATGGGAACAGATGGGGACAGACATACCTACCAAGGCCTCTCAGTCTCTCCCTAAGGCCTTGCTGGGTCTTGTTCACCCAACTCTTTCTTCCTGTGCCCAAGGACCAGGGCAGGAAGGAGGGGACCCCACACCATCTCCCACACATTTGCAACTTGCTGCTTTAGATTCCACACTTATGTTCTAAAGATGGAGATCAACTGACTCCAACCAATCATCAGAATCCTTTGTTTGTCCAATCACTATGGCCCAAGCTTCCTCAAATTCATGATCTTCCTGCTCCCTGCCTCCTGAGTGCTGGGATTACAGGTGTGAGCCACCATGCCTGGTTCCTCACAAAAATCCTCCAGGAGATAGATGAGTGACCACCAGGATAGAGGGACGGGGTGAGGGACTGGTTGAACTCCTCACTTTGGGCTGTGTCCACACACCCCCTCACCTTCAGAGAGACATCAGCCAAGATGTGGTGGGGCAGCTGCGAGTACATGAGTCCCAGGCCCACGATAGCCTCCAGCTCACCCAGGTCAGCTGCATGCTCCAGATGGAAGACAGCTGACTCTCGGTCCCACTCCTCATCCTTCTCACAGAAGCGTCCACCTTCGTGGTAGCGCACCATGGCCAGATGAACCTGCCACACAGACTGTAGCGTTGGCCTGGCTGCCTGGGAGGCCAAAGCCACACCCAAGGGCCACCCAGTCAGCCTGCAGGAGGAAGCAGTTAGTGGAGGCCAGACATGGAGCCCAGGGCTCAGGGTTAGTGCTGAGGGCTCTGGAATGGGCATCACCCATACCTTCCCCAAAACAGACTTCCCGATTTTCCTTTCATGGTCCAGAGCATTAAGCCTTTGCACTTCCAGGGCCACAGCCGAGGGCCTCGGCAGGTGCAGGCGGGAGGGATTGAGCAGGTTCCACGTCTCCACGCAGACCTGATGGGAGAGACCAGGTGGGTGGAGTTTAAAGGCCAGAGAAGCCAGGGGCTGGGGCTAGATGTGCTGCCACAGTGACCAGCAGCCATCACTATAGGAGGCTGGCTGGAAGGCAGGGGAAGGCAGCCCTTATGGTGTCAAACTTTATTGGAGAAACATGGCTCTAATTCTTTTGATTTGCTTCTGGTATTTTGAAAGAGGGTCTTATTCTGTGGACCACATCAACCTCAAACTTTCTGTGTAGACTAGGTTGGCCTTACACTCTTGATCCTTCCTCCTCAGCCTCTCAAGTGCTAGGATTACAGCAGTGTACCATTACACCCAGCTCCAGGGCTCCAATTCTAATCATTCAATTCTAATCATTCAAATGCCACCAGCTCATGGGTACTGACAGATGGCAGCAACAGGACACAATGGCCAGGAAAACAAGCTGTCACAGCTCTGAGAAGCGCTTCTCCCTCATCTATTAACCTAGAGACTAGGGTTAGGGCTCAGTGCTAATAAGCCTTCTCGCCTAGACTGCCCTTCATGCCAGGCACCAGTAAAGTGTGACTTCAGCAAATCCACCTGCTTCCTCAGTAAGTGGTGCTTCAGAGAATGGGTTTAGAAAACACAGGCCCATACGAAGAAGGATCCAGTCCAAAACACCAACAGTGACTTAGCCGAGTAATTCTGTCCTGCTCCAGGCTGGAAAGGCCCCATCTGATGAGAAATAGCTCATGATAATCACCAGCATCTCAAAAGAGGCAAGAATCCAGCTTGCTGGGATGGTCAGGGTAAGGAGGTATCTCTGGGTCCAGGTGTAGAGGACAGGAGAATGAACGGACAGAGGAGAAGAAAGCACTGTGCAGGCAGGAAGGACTTTCCTTAGCAAAGACTGACAGGTGTGAGGTTCAAGGTGTGTTTGGGTCAGATAGAGACTATGTGGAGTGGGGCTGGCCTTTCCTAGACATGCCTGATACCAACCATCACCGACACAATTGTCACACACACACACACACACACACACACACACACACACATACACACAAGTGGTTGAAACACAAGTACATTAAAAATGGTATGTAAAATTCCATCAGCTTTCATGTCTTAGGCATGTATGAAACAAATAAATCTCCTGTTTAGGTCTAACTTCAAGCTGTCTCACTGTGTATAAGCAAATATCACTAAATTGAAAAAAAAAAATTGAAATCCTGGGCTAGGGAGATGGCTCAGCGGTTAAAGCACTTGCTGTGTAAATCCAAGGACCAGAATTCAGATCTGTAGAACCCACATAAATACTGGGTGGGTGTGGTGCCCCACCTGTAATTTCAGCTTCAAAAGGCAGAGGCAGGGGATCCCAGAGCAAGTTGGCTAGCAAGACCAGTCATATCAGTGAGCTCTGAGTTTGAATAAAAGACCCTGCCTCAAAGGCTAAGTTAGGAGAACTATTGAGGATGATTCCCAACATCAATTAGGCTTCTACATGTACTTATACACATATACACTCATGAAAAATGGGAACAGGAATGAAAAAGTCCCAAATCCAAAACATTTCTGAGCCCAAGCATTTCAGAACACAGCCTGGCCGGGCATGGTGGTGCATGCCTTTAATCCCAGCACTGGGGAGGCAGAGGCAGGCAGATCTCTGTGAGGTCAAGGCCAGCCTGATCTCCATAGCGAATCCAGGCCAGCTGGGGCTACAGGGAAACCCTGTCTCAAAAAGACCAAAGAAACAAAAAACAAAAAAACACAGCCTGGAGCAGTCAGGAAATCTGAGGAAAGTTGCTCAGGATCCATTTTCTCTTACGTAGGAGGTAGTGAATACTGGCCCATCTCATTGGGGAGCAGCAAAGAGTGAACTGGTAAAGGCTGTGAGCATCCATCAGGCACTTAATCCCTTAGCTGTAGCTGTCACCTCCCCTTCTAGGATCATCTTTCTTCTCCCCACAGATACCCTGGCTCCTTGCCCGGGACAGGGCCTCCAATATACACTCTGCAAAATGGTGAGTGGTATGACAGAGGAGGGGAAATAGTGACAGAGCTGAAAGAGCTCCTAAGATGCATTACCCGTCCAGAGCTACCCAGGCTGTCCTCGTCAGATTCAGGCCTTCGGCTACCATTGGAGTGACCCTGTGAGGAAACAGACTGAGTGACTTTTGGGGGAACAGGAACCAACTCCTGGGGAACAAGACCAGCCCTCCCAGAGGACCCCCCCCCTGCCCCAGGAGCACTAGTCTACCGTTCTCCAGGTGAAGCTCAAACTATTTGCCAAGCTGACAGGAGGACAGAGCCTTCCTGTCCCCCTCTCATATGAGCAGATGGAAATGACCCAACGGTACAGGACTCAGCATGAAGCCATTGGGAAAATGGTGTTCAGTCCTTCCTCTGGCCAAGAATTCTGCAGGTGTCACATTCAGAGTCTTATAGCTGAGCCCAGACCTCATAGCTGAGCAACTGGCCTTAATGCACAAACTCCATTTTGGCACATGGTGCTGAGGCTGCCTCTACCTAGAGACTGCTGTGAGGGAGACTAAGGAAGCAGACCTCTGAGACCTGCCCCAGAACTGCCAGGTCCTTTCAGCTGCACCCTCCCACCGACACCAGCACCAGTCAGCCACCTCTCATACTACCCAGCATCCACTCTGCTGAGCAACCAAAAGCTCCATCTTCACCAAAGATCTGTTCGTCATTTTCTCTTGTCTTTGTTTTTTGCTGGTGGTTGGTTTTTTTGAGACAGGGTCTCCTTAGGGCTGACCACAAGCCTCCCAAGGGCGCCACCATGCCTAGCTTGTCAGCTGATTTCAATGTCGTATCCCAGTCTGTTTTCTCCTTCCTTGTCCACATTCACTGTTTCACCTTCTTCCTTGCCTCTGACTCTGCTTGAAATCTGGTTTCCTATTTTAATTTTACTTGTTAGGCTTTCAGACCCAACTCCCATTCCTCCTCTGGCTTTACATCCTCCTGGATGATATGAGGCAACAGAGGTCTCTGGTGTCATGGTCTGGGGGTGCTTACATGGTCTCGGGGCTCGGGGTAGTCCAGCTCACTCCGCTTCTCACTTGGGTATCCACTGTCTCCGCTGTTCTCAGAGTCCTGCAGAGAGAAGATTATCCTAGGGTCCTAGTGGACCTCTGAGTACCTGATAGTAGTAGTATTAGAACATCCTAATCATTTTCATCACCTTTGTCCCATTACCTATTTAATATCATCTTCTTTCTGCTTCCTGCTGATAGGGAGACCAGAGAGCAGTATAAAGTAGTAACAAGGCACCTAGGCTCTGGAACCACTCCTCCTGGGCACGAATGAACCCTGACTTTGATACTTGCCAGCCAGGACCTGGGCAATTGCTCAACTCTTCTATGCTTTCTTTTGCTTAACTGTGTGGATTCACTCTAGAACCTATACCAAAGAGCTGTTATGATTTGGCTATAAAATGAGCTCCCCAAAGGGTCATGTATTGAGACTAGTGTTGCTACTGAGAGGGGAATGGATCATGAGAGGGCTCACTCCACTCATGAGGTCAGAGCTAGATGGATCATTGGGAGGTAGAGTCTGACTGGGGGAAGGACATCACTGGAACACTCCTTGAAGAGTACATCTTGTCCCTAGATCTTCCCCTCTCCTTGCTGCCCCCTCTCTCCTGGCCACAGTGAGGTGAGCATGCATTTGTCACTGAGCTCACCTCATCAGGGCCTAGAACCAGTGGAGCTAATTAACCACAGATTGAAGCAAACAGCAAGAAAAAAAAAAAAAAAATCTGTCCTTATCTATTTAGTTTGTTTTTGTTTTGAGAACAAAATGGTCTCACATAGCCCAGGCTGGCCTTGAACTTTTGATCCTCCTTCCTCCACTTCCCAAATGTTGGGATTACAGGTGTGTACTACCACATCCAGTTTATGTGATGTTGGGATGGAACCCATGCTAGGCAAGCAGTCTACCAACTGAGCCTCAACAATAGCTCCCATCTATTCTCGAATAAAACTCTAAAAGGAATAAAAAAATAGTCTTATAAACTTTGAGACGTAAATTAAAAAAAAAAAATCTGCCAAGCCAGGTGTAGTGGCATACACTTTTAATCCCAGCACTCCCAAAGCAGACACAGGTGGATCTCTGTGAGTCTGAGGCCAGCCTGGTCTACATAGGGAGTTCTAGGTCAGCCAGGGCTATATGAGACCCCATCTTAAAAAACAAAAACAAAAACACCAGGTGTGGTGGTGCATGCCTTTAATCCCAGCACTCGGAAGGCAGAGGCAGATGGAGCTCTGTGAGTTTAAGGCCAGCCTGGTCTACATAGTGAGTTTGAGCACAGTTGGGGCTACAGGGAGACCCTGTCTTAAAAAGACCATCCCCGACACACACACAAAAAAGCTACCAAGCTTTTACAACTATCATGGGGGCTGGAGAGATGGGTCAGCGGTTAAGAGCACTGGCTGCTATTGCAAAGGACCTGGGTTCAGTTCCCAGCACCCACAAGGCAGCCAACAACCATTTGTAACTCCAGTTCCAGAGGATCTGATGCCTTCTTCTCACCTCTGCAAGCATTGCATAACACTGGTGCACTTACATACATGCAGGCAGTACACTCATAAACAACAACAAAAAAAATCATCTGGCTGTGGTGACAATTCCATACATATCATTTATTAATACTTTTCTTTTTTTATATCTATTTATATATTTTTAAGTTTTTATTTATTATTTTTATTTTATGTGTATGCCTGTATTGCCTGCATGTAGGTAAGTGCACCCATGTCGTGCAATGCCCGTGGAGGACAGAGGGCCACTGGATCCCCTGGGACTGGAATTACAGACAGTTGTTAGCTGCCATGTGGGTGCTGGGATTTGAACCCAGGTCTTCTGCAAGAACAACCAGTGTTCTTAACCACTGAGCCATCTCTCCAGCCCCCTACTTTATTTATTTTTATTTTATGTGTATGAGTGCTATGCCTGCATGCATATATGTGTATTACATGTGTGCAGTTCCCATGGAGGCCAGAAGAGAACATCAGCTTCCCTAGACCTGGATTTAAGGACAGCTATTAGCTGCCATGTGGGTGCTGGGAACCCAACCCAGGTCCTCTGAAAGAACAGTAAGTGCTCTTAACTCCTAAGTCATCTCTCCAGCCCTATTAATACTTTTCTAGTCAAGAAACTTAAGGGGTTGGAGAGACAGCTTGGGGCTCAGCAATTATGAGCACTGGCTTCTCCTGCAGAGAGGGTTCAATTCCCAGCATCTACATGGTGGCTAACAACCACCTGCAACTCCAGTTCCAGGTGATCTGATGCCTTCTTCTGACCTCTTCCGGCATTGCACAATATGGATGCACTTACATACATGCAGGCAATATACTCATACACATATAAAAATATAATAAGTAAAATATTTTTAAAAAAAGAAACTTTAAAAGGAGCCAGGGAACTGGAACCTTTGGGGCAACCTGAAAGGACAATGTAAAAGACCCTGTGCAAGTGCAGCAATTCTGCTGTCACACTCTTAAAACAACTTAACCCTTATTTATTTTCTTTGTGTGTTCGGGGGTGGCAGGGGATGCTGTGCGTGTACCACAGCACACATGGGCAGTCAGAGGATAACCTGTGGCAGTCAGTTCTATCCTTTCACTATGTAGGTTCTGGGCAATAGAACTCAGGTCATTAGACTTGGCAGCAAGCATCCTTACCTGCTGAACCATCTTCCTGGCCTCTGAAATCACACCTTTATTTTTTTGAGACAGGGTCTCACTGTGTAGTTACAGCTGGCCTGGAACTCACTATGAAGACCAGGCTGGTCTTGAATGCACAGAGATCTTCCTGCCCCTCAAGGGCTAGGATTAAAGGCATGCACCACCATGCCTGGCCCAAGTTACACTCTTGATTTTGTTTTTTAAGTTGATACTATAACATGCTTGCATGAATGCAAATGTGATGCCTTTAGTTCTTCAAACTGAGTCAGCCTGAGCAGCAGGAGGCATCCCGTGTGTCTAACCAGACAGCACTATGGTCATTGTACTCTTAGGTTCTATGTCTGAGACCCAGCAGAGGGGTCCCCCAAGTCATCCATCCTCACGTGTGTGGTTAACCAAACCAGGGCCCAGCATGGCATCGCTAGAAGGATGCATGCTGCTCACTTGGAAATGCTTTCACCTGGTCATCTCTGGGGATAGTAGTGGACCCAGTTCCTCTAGTGAACAACTCACCCTGGACAGGAGGCTAAGACTTACATACATCCTTACCACCTGACCCAATGTGGTGAGTGAAGGTGGAAATGACTGAAGCAGACCTGGGCTGGCCCACCCCTTCACCACCCTGGGGACAGCAGCTTCCTCTTCACTTACCCGGTGATTGTCCACATGGTCATGGTCTCTAGGCCCCATGTTATCAAGGTCTCCAAACACCAGCCAATCTGAGCAGGGAAAAGCAGAGGTAGTGATGCAGATGTGCCCAAGACCCACCTGTGGCCTACAGCAGACCACACCCACACCCAGGCTGGCCTCCAACTCTTAAGTGATCAGCCTCCTTAGGGCTGGGGTTATAGATGTGCACTACTACACCCAGTACTGTATTTCTAATTTCTAGTGAGGAGCACAAAATTAGAGAAGGGGGTTGTCAATCCCTTGAGAGTTCCTTCTCAAAAATTCTAAGTTCACCACTTGCCAGCCAAGGGATCCAGAGTAAGAAGTCTCACCTCTGCAGCTCTGTTGTTTGCATAGTTGTACTTATAATGCACTTATCAGCATGTCAGCTCTGAGTAAAGTGCAGTTATGACAGAAGAAAAACTATCTATATGTATGGGTCCCAAGGAGTGGCCCTCAGATGACTTCCAAACCAACCATCTCCAGATAGTTACCTTTCTGCCCTATGCAAGTTCCACCCAATCTGTCTTGATGACCATTTTTATTAAATTTGTAACAATCGGGGCTGGTGGAGCTTAATGCTAGAGGGAGCCAAGCAGGAATGAGGCCTGAACGTGTGCACAAACACACACACATAAAGTTAATAAGAATGGCCTTTACATTTTCAAATAGTTTTTAAAAAATCAAAAGAAGAAATTTTTTTTCCTTTCTTTGAGACAGGATCTCATTGTGTAGGCCTGGCTGGCCTAGAACTCACTATGCAGACCAGGCTGGCCTTGAACTCACAGAGATCTGCCTGCCTCTGCCTTCTGAATGTAGGGATTAAAGGCATGTGCCACCACATCTCACCTAAAAGAATATTTTATAGCATGTGAAAGTTAGACAAAATTTAAATTTCAGTGTTTGGCAGCTGGAGAGATGGCTCAGCGGTTAAGAGCACTGGCTATTCTTGCAGAGGACCCAGGTTTGATTCCCAGAACCCACATGGCAGCTAACAACAGTCTGTAACTCCAGTTCCAGGGGATCCAACACCCTCTTCTGACCACCAAGGGCATTGCATGATACGGGTGTACCTACATATATGTAGGCAATACACTCATACACATAAAATTAAAAAAAACAAGTAAATATAGCATAAATTTCAGGGTTTGTAAGCCAAATTTGTGTGTGTGTGTGTGTGTGTGTGTGTGTGTGTGTGTGTGTGTGAGTGTCGCTACAGGTACATGTGTATGCATGTGCATGTGGAGGCCTGAGATCAACCTTGCTTTTTGTTTCTCAGGCACCATCTACTTGGGTTTTTTTGAAAGCATCTCTCATTGGCAGGGAGCTTGTCAAGTAGGCTGGCTGGCCCGAGAGCCCCAGGGAGCCTTCTGACCTACCTCCCCAGTGCTGGGATTACAAGTGTGTGCCACCACATTTTGGGTTTTCTTACATAGGTTCCGGGGATGGAACTCAGGTCTTCATGCTTATGAGACAGGCACTTTACCCACTCAGCTACCTTCCCAGCCCTGTGAAACAAACTTTTTGGCACATGGCTATACTTATTCAATTAAGAATTGGCTCTGGCTATCTTCAAGCTGCAAACACAGTGGCCATATGGTCAGTAAGGAGTAAAATATTTACTCTCTGACCCCTTTAATGAAAAGTCTGTTGATGCCTGCTCCATTGCTAAGGTCTCCCAGTGGGGACGTCTAAATGGCTGCTTTAATGTTCTGACATTAAAACCGTCCTCTCCTCTTTCAGCACACTCCTCACAGCTTTTCCCAGAGGAATGGATGGACACATTGTCCTTCTAGCGCTTTAGACCCAAACCCTAGTGTCAGCCTTGTGTCCCTCTTCCCTGAAGACCTCAGGACAGCCACCAGCAAACTGCACCCTCAGCAACAGAAATGATTCAGCTCTGCCCTTTCCTTTCCCTCCCTGCTCCCTTTCCCCCCTCTCTCCTTCCCTCCCTTTCTTCCTTCCTTCCTTTCCCCCATCTCCTTCTACCATATGGGTTCCAGGGATCAGACTCAGGTTGTCAGGCCTGGTGGCAAGTGCATTTACCCACCGAGTCATCTCACTGGCCCCAGCTTTGCTCTTTTGACTTTCTGCTATGATGTTAATAGATTTCTTAATGCTGACCAATCCACAGATTTAACTGTGACACGTTATTAGTTAGCTGTTTGTTAGTACTTTTATCCACAATTTTTAAAAAATTATTTATTGTTTTTATTTTATGTGTATGAGTGTGTTGCCTGCATGTATGTGAGGGCACCCATGTCGTGCAAAGCTGCGGAGGTCAGAAGAGGATTCCCCTGGAACTGGAATTAAGGACGGTTTGTAGCATCATGCAGGAGCTGGGAATCAAACCCAGGTCCTCTCAAGAGCAGTCAGTGCGCTTAACTGACTGAGCCATTTCTCCAGCCCCTTATTCACAATTTTTATACTGTACATATATAATGAGGTTGAGATGAAATTTTCTTTTCTGTGTATTTTATCAAATGTCACTATAAGGGTTTTGCTAGTTTTGTACAACACACTGAAACATGTTACCATGCTTTCTGTGACAGAGGCTGTTATTATAGCATTTGGATGACCCGTGTCTTCAAAATTCATTCTGTGAATTTACCCAGAAAGCCACCCAGCCTAGTATGTCTGATTTTCCATCATGAATAAAACTGGTATGGCTCGTTCTACCTGGTCCCTACCCCTCTACTCACGATGTCCAGGGACCAAACCACGACTCACTGAGGTGGTCCAATTTCTGGCTGTGTGGTGTGGCTGAAGATGGGGAGGAAGGGAGAGAGTCAAAGGTCACATCGCTCATGTTCTCATCCCCAGAGTTCTCTGAAAGTCGAAGAAGCAGGGGTGGCCGGCTGCTAGAGAGGGTCCTTATGCGGGGGCTCCCACACTTTTCCTCTGTCCCCCTCAAGATGGTCTTGGCTGATTGCTGGGGACATAACAGGGTTATTCACGTTATGCAAGCGCTCCTCTGGGGAGCTGTTACAGTTTGTTTTATGCTGCAGTGACAACTTGGGGAGGAAAGGGTTTCTTTCATCTTATGCTTCCAGGTCAGAGTGTGTCACTGAGGGACATCAGGGTATGAAGTCAAGCAGAGGCAGGAACCATGAAGGAATGCTGCTTACTGGTTTGCTCAGCTAGCTTTCTTCCACAGCCCAGGTCCTAGGATCCCACCTGCCTAGGGATGGCACTGCCCACAGTCAGCTGGACCCTCTTATATCAATTAGTAAATCAAGAAAATGTCCCACAGACATGCCCACAGGCCAGTCTGATTGAAGTTGTCTCAATTGAGACTCCCTCTGGGCTATGTCAAGTTGACAGCTAAAGTTAACGAAGAATAAAAGGCTCCTTTGAACATGAAACCCTTTCACATAACTATTATACATGCGTAATAGAGAATCTTGTCGAAAGAAACAATTCAGGATTAACTCTATATTGTCTGAGAAGGGGTATACAGGATGGAACTCAAAGGGGCTGCTGCTGCTAGTCCATGTTTCCTAAAATGCTGGTAGCCCTGACCTAGAAGTATACCCCCAACACATGTCCAGAGTCCCACATTGATCTTCGTCAGTAGCCTGCATTGGTTTGTGAAACAGGAATGAGGTGGGGTGGTCTCACTCTAGACACAATGACATGCTCAACAGGGCAGGTCTAGGTCTAGTCACTCATTTTTTCAACACAACACACACGCATGCATGCACACACGTTATGCAAGCACTCCTCTGGGAATTGTACACACACACACACCACACACACTTTCTGTTACTTCTGTTTCTACATGTTTTCCTCACTCTGGTTGCAAATAGGCCACAGCCAAGCAAACTCCAGGTACTACATTATGGAGATGCTTGGGAGGACTCTGTATACTAAGTTGGAGGGGATGGGTTAATGCACAGATGGGATGGATCTTTCTAGCACTGCTGGGCCTGGTCACCATCCCACAGGGAAGCAGAGCCTGTTGTCTGGGTGGCAGAAGGGCTGGTCAGTTGGAGCAGGTTCCCACTGGGTACCCACCAATAGCTTGGTATTCTGATTCACCATGTCCTGTTCCCGTGGTGAGAGGTCAAAGGGTGCGAGGCCCATGCTCTTGCAGATCCGGTTGCAGGCATGGGAGTAGAAGAAGAGAGCCATCCCCCGGACACCTGTGGGCGGAGCAGGGGTGTCTAGTGTGTTCCTTTTGCCCCATGACAAAGGGGGACAGTGGGGACAGCAGAAATGTAGCCAGGCAGGTGGAAAATACATGAACTAGAAGGTTCCAGGTCAGGCATGTCAAGCTCCCACCTCCATGAACTCAGGAAGGGCCAAACACTGTCAGTCTGTTTCCTTGGATGTAGGAAAGAGCTAACAGATTTTAGAGGAGCACGGTCTCTATGGAAATGGGCTGGCTTTCCCCCACTTACCAAGGTTGCCATCTCCAAAGTCAGTGCCAGTCTCGGTGTGGATCTGTGGGTCAGTGTAAAGGTCACCCACGCCCTGGATGTCCACCACAATCAGCTGATGACCGGAACGCTCAAATGTGAAGTGGCTGAAGGCCTGTGTGGGGCAGGGAGGGAAGGTGGCTATAACAGACCAGGCTGTGGGCTGAGCAGATACTGGCCAGCCACCTTATTGGAGGCTGTAATACTAAGGATCTGCCCACAGTTGGGGGCTTTCTCTGCAAGGAGTTTTACAAAGTAAAGGACAAAAGGAGGACTGCTCAATTCTGCAAAGACCTCAAGGATACAGGGCTTATGGTCATCTTAGGAGTGCTAAAAGAAATTCTCACAGGGTGGCAGGTGTAGTGCCTTAAAGAATCTTCTTCAGAGCTGGGCATGGTGGTGCATGCCTTTAATCCCAGCACTTGGGAGGCAGAGGCAGGCAGCTCTCTGTGAGTTCGAGGCCAGCCAGTGAGTAGCAGGCCAGCTGGGGATGCAGGGAAACGCTGTCTCAAAAAGAATTTTCTTCAGGGCTAAGGAGATGGCTCAGTGGTTAAACAACTTGCTATGCAAGTGTAAAGACAAGAGTTCAGATCTCTAGAACTCATTTAAATGCCAGGTAGGTATGGTGGCCCACCTCTAATGTTACTCTCAGAAGGTAGAGATGGGATCCCCAGAGCAAGCTGGCAAAAAGATTAGACATACCAGCAAGTTCTGGTTTGACTAACACCCTGCCTCAATGATAAGGTGAAAGAATGATCAAGGATGGTTCCTAACATCAATCTCCAGCCTCCATATACAGGTGCACACACATGCATGCCCACCTACACATGTGCCCACACACATGCAAACATGCAGATATGCATGCATACCACAGACACACACATGGAAATGGAAAAGGAAGAAGAAAAAAACAATCTTTTTTAGGAGCTGGAGTGATAGATTCCTGTGGTAGATTGCCAGCCTAGTATGTTTGGGACTCTAGATACACACACACACACACACACAAACACACACACACACACACACACACACACACACACACACACACACACGTTCAGAATGTTCTAATAGAGTTGAGGGGCCTCTGGAGATGTAAGAGCCCATACCCACAAGAGCCTTCCTATCTAGGGTTGAATTCTGTCAGGCTTCACGTCAAAGGGCTAGGGTGGATGGAGAGTAGAGGTGTGGGCAGAGTAAGCCCAGGGCCTCACCTGTGGTGTTAGACGGATGTTGTCATCACGGACAAAGCCTGAGTTGGAATTGTACTTGATGTACTTGCCCTCAATGTAATGCTCCAGGTGGAAGAGAGGCTGGCCGGGTCTGTCCTTCAGCTCGATGATGCACATCTGCATGATATCCACCTGGTGGAAGGGTGGGGAGCAGGCTCAGGTGGAAGGGCAGGACTGAGGGGCACTGTGCTCTGTCTGGGCTCTGATCCTGACTCCATCATTTATTAGCTTCTCTGGCAAGAAATGCCGACTATCCCCAGAATCTATTCTCCCTCTTTCCTTTTGGTATGAAAACCCCTATCCCTGGTTTCAACAGAATGCACTGCCAGGTTCATGAAGGGATCACACTGCTTAGCCTCCCTAGACACTAGGTGTGACCATGTGACCATGCCCAGCCAATGGGAAATGAGCAAACATCAACAAGGTCATAATTGTAGCCATCCCTGCCAGGGAGACTGCTTGGGATTGACAACTAGAACCATATCAACAACAACCCCAGGAGGTGACAGAGCAGCAGGACAGAAGGAACCAGATCTCTGGATGACTTCAGAGGCACAAAGTACCAGCCCACCCAGTGCCACTGTTACACAAGTGGGAAAGAAATCATTCTGGGTAAGTACACATTTGTGGGTCTGTTTGCTAGCAACTCAGACTGTACCTGATACTAATACTGTAAACTTGGGCAAGCTATTTCACTTTAGTGTGCCTTATTACCTTCACCTACAGACAGGAGGATGTCAAACATAGTACAAAGATTAAATTTATTAATGCACAAACAGGTCAGTGTTTACATCATTAGCATTGTAAGCTGTGATTTGAATGTGAAATGCCTCCTACAGGCTCATGATTTTAGATACCTTGTGCCTAGCTGGTGGTGCTGTAGAATTTTTTTTTTATTTACTAACCTTTATTTTATTTTTATTTTTATTTTATGTGTATGAGTGTATTGCCTGCATGTATGTAAGTGTACCCATGGCGTGCAATACCTGCAGAGGTCAGAAGAGGGCATCAAATTGCCCTGGAACTAGAGTTATGAATGGTTGCTAGCTGCCATGTGGGTGCTGGGAATTGAACCTGGGTCCTCTGCAAGAGCAGCCAGTGCTTTTTAACCACTGAGTCATCTCTCCAGCCCTATTATTATATTATTTTTTAATGTTTTATTATTTTTATTTTTTTATGTGTATTGCCTGCATGTAGGTAAGTGTACCCATGTTATGCAATGCCTGCAGAGGACAGAAGAGACTGTCTGATCCCCTGGAACTGGAGTTACAGACATGTAGGTGCTGGGATTCAAACCCCGGTCTTCTGCAAGAACAGTGTTTTTATCTGCTGAGCTAGCTCTCCAGCCCCCCTATTACTATTATTCTTTTTTTTTTTTTGGTCCTTTTTTTTGAGATAGGGTCTCCCTGTAGCCCCAGTTGTCCTGGAACTATGTAGACCAGGCTGGCCTTGAACTCACAGAGATCTGCCTGCCTCTGCCTCCCAAGGTGTGTGCCAGCACTATTATTTTTGTTTTATGTGTATGAGTGTGTTGCCTGCATGTATGTAAGTGCACCCATGCTGTGCAATGCCCATGGAGGTCAGAAGAGGGCATTGGATTCCCTGGAACTGAAGTTACAGACTGTTGTTAGCCACCATATGGGTGCTGGGAACCAAATCCAGGTCCTCTGCAAGGGCAGCCAGTGCTCTTAACCACTGAGCCATCTCTCCAGCCCCTGGTGCTGTTAAATATTTAAAAGGTAGAGTCTCATTAAATGAAGAGGGTCACTGGGGCAGGCCTTCAGGTTTTAGAGCCTGGCTCCACTTCCCGTCTGGGGATACAGTGTGACTGCCTGCCTCATGTTCTTGCTGCCATACCTTCCCTACCAATTGTGAGTCAAAATAAACCTTTCTCCCTTAAGTTACTTCTTGTAACTTATTTGGTCACAGCAACAAGAAAAGTAAATAGTGGTTCTTTCTCTGCAATGGGGAGTACAAGAAAAGCTGATTTGCTTTGAATTTTTTTCCTTTTTTTTTTGGTCTTTTTGAAACAGGGTCTCCCTGTAGCCCCAGCTGTCCTGGAACTCACTATATAGACCAGGCTGGCCTTGAACTCACAAAAATCCACCTGCCTCTGCCTCCCAAGTGCTGGGATTAAAGGTGTAGGCCACCATGCCTGGCTCAAGTGCATGTTTAATTTTATACACAGTGACACACACATACTATGTGTGGTTTGTAAAGTGGAGCAACAGGGACCTATAGTTGTTGCAAGGACTCTGTCATGGCAACTGTCACCCTCAATACTACCCACAACATGGGAAGAACCAGGTTTGGGCTTCAAAGGCAAAGAGACCACCCAGAGAGGAGTCACCAGACAGGTAGACCACAGTTGCAGAAGCCACAGGAGCCCAGAGATGAGAGATGAGGCCTTCAGCAAAGACAGCTGTAGTTCCCAGCACCAACTTGTGGGGAGGAAGAGGGAGGATGGTTTCCAGAAGGTTCTGGTCTCCAATATGGCTCAATCCTTACAAGGAAGGTGTGGCAGGGTCACCTGTTTGGCTGGAGGGCTCAGTTGGGTGAGGGGCAGTGGGACAGCTGAGTAGACAGTCAATGCCTGCTCAGAAAACCACACTCATCTCTTCCTTTAATTCAGCCTTACGATCACTTACTCAATACCTAGGCCCTAGGGACAGAAGTAAACAAGACACAAAGTCTCAGCCTTCGGGAGAAAGCAACTAAAATATTAACTAAATGGATAGGATGCTGTAAGATCATGTTGCTTCAAAGAAAGGAAAACAGAACAAAGCAGAAATAACATGGCAAGGGTGGCTGGGTGGAAGGGCCATCTCATTTACAATGGGCTCACTCATCTGGCCTTGCTGGAGAGGTGACTTGTTCAGCTGAGACCTGAACTGGGAGAAGATGCAAGGATTGGGGAATAATGCAGGTGGAAGGCACAGCCAGAACAAAGGTCCAGGGGTGGGAAATATGAGAAGGGAGGAAAAGAAAGGAAACCAGGCCAGAGTATAGTAAAATGCTGAGGTCATAGCCTCTAAGAGTAGGGACTGTGGCTTATTAGGTCTATCCCAAGTACGCTTAGACAAGGGCTTTATAAGCAGGTGACTGATAAATCCTATTGGCTGCCTGGGAGCATGGGTCTCTTGAGGCACCCAGCTGTCACAGCCAGTATCCAATAAGTGCTCAGACAGTGGATATTGGCAGGACAGAGGCATAGAGCAATGTTTGCTCAAACACTCACAGGCAACAGGAAGTTCTGCTTGGCACCAAATCTAACACTGTAGGGGTCAAGGGGAGGAGCCAAGTTGGCTGGGGACAGAAAGGACTAGGTTGGAGCCCTAGCTCCATCCCTGCCTGGTTGGGCAGTGTGCTGGATAGCTTTAGTGTCAAGTTGACACACCTGGGTTGAGGGAGCCTCAATCGGGGAATTGCCTCTATTGGACTGGCCTGTGGCCATATCTGAAGGGCATCTTCTTGATGAGTGATGTAGGAGGGCCCAGCCCACTGTGGGTGGTGCCACCCCTGGGCAGGTGGGCCTGTGTTGCAATATGAAAGCAGGCTGAGCAGGGGCCAAGGGAGCAAGCCAGTAAGCAGTGTTCCTCCATGGCCTGTGCTTCAGCTCCTGCCTCCAGGTTCCTGCCCTAAGTTCCTACCTTGGGCTCCCTGATGAACTGTGACCT